TATATATATATATATATATATATATATATAGGCATCCACATATGCAATGGCACAGAAACACCTGCGTACATAATAGAGACACAGGTGCACATATATATATATATATTTATTTATTTTTATATTATATCTACATTTACAAATACATTCATACTCATATACGTATGATACATTAACGCCAGCACACTGTATACTACCACTACTACTACTACTAATAATAATAATGCATCTATTATTACTATTATTATAATAAATAATAATGATAATATTATTATTAAAGCCATGCTCCAATACACAAACATAGGGGCCCCGCGATAAACAAAGAAGATCTTGCATGCATTTGAAGAGAGAATAATAAAAAGAAATGCATCAATATAATTACCTGCAACAGAGCTGAATACACCATTTACTAGTTTTTCTTTTTCTTCTCTTGTTACATCTCTATACCCAAATGAAGACATAGGGCCCTGGGGGCCCCCAGGGGGCCCCGTGCTAAAGGCTCGGGGGGCCCCCTGGGCCCCTTCATGCACAGAAGAAAGGACCCCTGGGGGCCCCCTAGAGAAAAGAGAGAAGGCAGGGGCCCCTGAATAAGGCAAAGCAGAAGACAAGAGGAAGCCCCGGGGGGCCCCCCTAGGAAGGCAGCGTACAGAAGATTGCATGATGCGTTTCTATTGAATTCTTTATCCTTTGCAGGAAACAATCATATTTAAATATATATAAAATTACTTTGCTGAAGTATAACCTATAAGGACTCCCTCCATAGAGACGGCAGTAACGGGGGCCCCCGCGACGGTACCCAAACCCTAAACCCTAAACACTAAACCCTAAACCCTAAACCCTAAACTCTAAACCCTAGAGCTGAACATAGAAGAGGGAGCTTCAGTCAATTCTACTTTCTCATTTGGAGTCATCAAACATTCGTGTATATTCTTTGCAGTAAAATTGCGGTGTATGTGCAGCTCATATCTTTAATCTCTCCGCCTCTGCTTTTTTGCAGAGGGCCCCTAGTAGCATTCAAATTCGTAGCGGGGGGAGAAATCAAGAAAAACGCATTAATAAACGTGAATAAAACAATTAAATAATTGATAGAGTGCCGTTTTATGTGGCGTTTTCTCACGCCATGCTGAAGTGTACGTGCATCGTAGCAACAACCTGCATTATCTCTACTTTTCTCTCCTTTTCTACATTCAAACGGAAACAAATAGTTGGTGGGGAAGTTTCTTCGCGATATTTCTATTCCTATTAACTGCCTCAGGCCGCAATAGATATCTACGCGGATGCAGAACGTAAGCACACGCCCTCCTGCTACTGCTGCTGCTGCAGCTGCTACTGCTGCTGCTGCTGCTGATGCTACTGCTGTTGCTGCAGCTGCTCCTGCTGCAGCTGCTACTGCTGCTACTGTTGCTGCTGCAGCTGCTCCTGCAGCAGCAGCAGCAACATGCTGCTGCTGCTAGTGCTGCACCTTCTACTGCTGTTGCTGCAGAAGCTGCTGCTGCGTCTGTCTGTATCTGAGACGGCCGCAGCAGTGGCATAATTATCTCCTTATGCGGGTCGGTAAATCCAATGTTTAGGGTTTAGGGTTTAGGGTTTAGGGTTTATGCTGAGGATATGTACAGACAGACGAACTGAGAAGGCGTGACGTGGCAGGGGGCCGGCTGCCGACCTCTTCAAACGCAAGGGGTGTGGATTCATCAGAAGAGGGGCCCCCTAGGGGCCCCCCTGCATGCGGGGGGGCCCCCTCTGTGTCTGCTTCTGAGAGCAGCAGATCGGATGGGGGCCCCTTAGAAACGAGAAGCAGAGGGAGGGCTGCTGCTTCTCCTTTGTTTAATTTTTTCTTCTCTCTTTGGGTTTTCTGTAGAGGCTCTCTAACTGCACTGGGAGTTAGCTTGAAGAATTTTCTTTTTCATGCACAAGGATTGCTAAGTATGTCTTTTCTTTGTCTTTGTCTTTGTCTTTGTCTTTTCTTTGTCTTTGTCTTTGTCTTTGCCTTTGTGTTTGTCTTTGTCTTTGTCTTTGTCTTTGTCTTTCTTTTTGTTGTTTGATTAGTTATCCTTTTCTTCCTGTCTTTGCTTTTATTTCCGTATTTTCTTTATTTTTCTTTTTGTTGTTTTCTTCTTCCTTTTATCTTCTTCAACCCTTTATCCTTTTCTGTGTAATTCTATTTTTTTGTCTTGCATTTAGTTTTATTGTTTTATTGTTTTGTTTTTGTTTTTGTTTTTATTATTGTGTTTTTGTCTTCATCTTTTTTTCTGTCTTTTACTGCGTCTTCTTTTTTTGTCTTTATTTTTATTTTATATTATTTCGATTGTTTTGTTTTTCTTGTGTTTTGTTTGGAGCTGTTTGTCTTATTTATTTGTTGCTTTGTATATATTTTTGTTTTAAATATATTTTCTTTCTTCTTTGTTTATATCCCCTTTGTCTTGTCTTTATATGTATATGTCTTTATATTGTTGTCATCTGCATGCATGCGTTTTATTTATTTTTCTTTTTCTGGTGTATCCTCAGCTCGGGCCTTTACTACCCCTACTTTTCCTGAAATGTTTGAAGCAAAATATGGAAACAGACATCCTCCCTTCTTTTCAGGCTCTCTTAGAGACGTATTATACAAACCCTAAACCCTAAACCCTAAACCCTAAACCCTAAACCTTTCTTTCTAAGCTCTCTTAAAGACGTATTATGCAGACTAAACCCTAAACCCTAAACCTTTCTTTTTAAGCTCTCTTTGAGACGTATTATGCAAACCCTAAACCCTAAACCCTTCTTTCTATGCTCTCTTAAAGACGTATTATACAAACGCCAAACCCGAAACCCTAAACCTTTCTTTTCAGGGTCTCTTAGAGACGTATTGCACAAACCCTAAACCCTAAACCCTTCTTTTCAAGCTCTCTTAAAGACGCGTTACACAAACCCTAAACCCTAGGAGTGGGTGTGAATCGAGTCGCTGCAGTGTGGAGTGTAAGGTGCAGTGGTGTGGTTTAGGGTTTAGGGTTTAGGGTTTAGGGTTTATTGCTTTGCAGGCGTTTGGTGAAGCGCGAGTGCTTCAGAAGCCTTTGGTTGTTTATTTACATGGAGAGGGGCCCTCCTCTGATTTAACGTGCAGAGAAGCCCTCAGCAGCTCCCTCTTCATTGAACTCCTCGTCAGACCTGCTGCTGCTGCTGCTGCTGCTGCTGCTACTGCTGCTGCTGCTGCTGCTGCTGTTGCTGGTGGTGGTGGTGATGCCGCTGCAGTTGATATTGCTGCTGCTTGCGCTGCTGCTGATGTTGTACAGTTGCTGCTGCCGCTGCTGCGACATTTGCTGTTACTGGTGTTGCTGCTGGTGGTGCTGCTGCTTATGCTTTTTGAGGTGCTGTTATTGCTGCTATATATATATACATATATATGCATATATATATATATATTTGCATATACATATATATATATATATATATATTTGCATATACATATATATATGTATATATATATATATTTGCATATATATATATATATATATATATATGTGT